TTTCCAGGCAGCATATTGCTGGGCCCCTGGCCTCATACCTGGCAGCAGCTCCTGGGATGGAAGACCCTGAACGGCCGACAGTTCTCCCTGTGTCCCGGCCCTATGGCTGCGCCGATGCTGCTGGAACAGTTTGACGTTGGAGCCCATGAAGCTGCAATGGTTGCAGTGGAAAGGGTAATGGGCCTGCCGGTGCAGCTCCATGCCCTGCTGGCTCCCGAAGAGCATGGGGCATCCCCGGAAAGAACAGGGCACAGGAACCACTCTGTGTGTCTGCCTCAGGTGGTGCTGTAGACCCTTACGATCTTCAGTGGAGAACACACAGCCAGACTCTGGGCAGGTGAAGGTGTCAGGAGTGCCCCGGTGAGTCTTGAAGTGGTTCTTCAGGGTCTGGGGTTGGGCAAACTCCTGTCTACATACAGGGCATGGCAGGGGGCTATCTGGTTGGCTCTGGCCCTGAGGAGGGTCAGGAAGAGTAAGGTTGCTGGGGGGTAGCTCTACAGAGCATGGGGGGCTAGCGAGGCCCTGCACAGGCTGTATAAGGGTCTCGCTGCACTGGTGCAGGGCCAGCAGAGTGGGCTCTGCGAAGCTCTGCTCACAGTGCTCACAGAAGTACACCTCCACCACTTTTACCAGGACACCTGCAGGCAGAGGACCAACAGAGAAAGGCACAGGATCAGATGGAACAAGACTCATAGGAGTTAGTTACTAGCAGAAAACACAGGTAAATATTTTAATATTCATGGAGTCTGGTTCTGCACCTGGACCATAAACCCAATCAGGGCAGGGACAGTCTACCTTGCACATGTGTTTGTATTCCTAGTATCTAGCATAATACTTGGCACACAGTAGGTACTTAAGTATTTGTTAAATGAATGTAGCAAATATTAACCAAAGTAGAAAGCATTAAGAAAAGGCAGTGCATTTTGCCTAAATAAAAAACTCAGAAACTTCAAAAAAAAAAAAAAATGACAATCTGAGGATAATATCTGCAACATAACAAAGTGTTACATTCTGAAAGAGATTTTCATAAGCACAGTAATTCATAAAATGGAAAACATCCTTTTTGAAAGCAGCCAAATCATAATTCATAATAATCACTGCCATTTCTTAAGCAGTAGGCAGGACCTTGATAAAGAAAGGCTTAGGAAACACTCTTTTTTTTTTTCTTTTTTCATTTTTCTATTTGTTTTTCTTTTACCTTTTTTTTTTTTTTTTTTTTTTGGGGAGTGGGGGGTGCTTTGTGTGTTAGGGAAATTAACACTTTGCCTTGGGATTCAGTGAGGTTAAAGCCACCATGTTTAATGGTGGAGCCATGACTCAAGCCCAGGTTTTTCTTACATTTATTCTGGTAGTCCTTTTTCTCNCAGCCAAATCATAATTCATAATAATCACTGCCATTTCTTAAGCAGTAGGCAGGACCTTGATAAAGAAAGGCTTAGGAAACACTCTTTTTTTTTTTTTTTTTTCATTTTTTTTTTTTTTTTTTTTTTTCCTTTTTTTTTTTTTTTTTTTTTTTTTTTAGGAAACACTCTTGGTCCTCCAATTGCCCCTATGAGAAGAGGGACCTGGGATTCAGTGAGGTTAAAGCCACCATGTTTAATGGTGGAGCCATGACTCAAGCCCAGGTTTTTCTTACATTTATTCTGGTAGTCCTTTTTCTCTTTATGATTTTTTTGTTTAAATAAATATTGAGTGCAACAATTCAAATGATACAGACATATATCACACACAAAAAAAATACCCCCCAACCCCCATACACAGTTTGGTCTATATCCTTTCAGGTCTTTTGGGGTCATTTTTCTGCACTTGCTATATAGCAAAGATATTTTTTATCTATGAGTACATTTAGATCTACCTTATATTTTTTTGTTTAGTTTATAGCACTTCAGAGCATGGATAAATTAAAATGAAATTTTGCCCTTACTGATGGACATTTGGGTTGTTTCCAACCATTACAAATAAAGCTAGCCTACACATCCTTATCCCTGTATCCTTGTGTGTGAGTCTATAGGACAAGTCCCGAAAAGTGGAATTACTGGGTCAGAGTATGCATATTTTAAAATTTGTTATGTAAATACATTGACCTTCAAAAACTTATGCTAAATTATACTCTCCATAAGCTATAAAATAGTGTCTTTTTCCACACAGCCTCACTAACATTAGGTATTATAAAAAATGTTCAATTTTTGCCAAAGTTGAGAAACAAAATGGCATCTCATAGTTATTTTTAACTGAAATTTATTTTTGTGTTAGTGAGATTAAGCATCTTTATAGTTACTATTTTTATTTCTTCTTTATTGAACTTCATGTAGATTTCTCCTCCCACTTTAAAAAAAATACTATTTTTTCTTATTGTGGAGCTCTTTAAATTTTAAAGATATTAAATCTTTCTTATACACTGCAAATGTTTTTCCCAGGTTTGATTTTTATTATTTCTTTACTGATTATAGTTTAGAAATAGTATATGATCAAATTAGCTAATCTTTTCCAGTGTCCTTTGTACACTGCCAAGGGAAGTTGTGACAACCATAGTTGGAGGATGTCAGTTAAAAAACAGGAAATTACTCAAAAATAAGAAGTTATAGATGTGGGAAGAATAAAGGAGAGAATCTTTCTTCAAGCCTAAGTGTAAATGTTCAACTCCCACTCTTAACCACACGCCTTGGATGAGTTAAATATGTTATACACAAGAAACAAGGGCAGGGAAATACCAGATTACCTCTGGGAAGCCCTGCCAATCCCAGGGTGGTGGAGAGAGGCTGGCTGGGCCTTTTGCCTAATCCCTGGCTGTAGTTCCTGGGTGGGAGGGTCAATATGGAGGAAAGAATCCCCAAGGACTATTAGAGTAAGGATTGGCAGAGGTGTCAGAAAGGTCTTCCCTCTGGATTACTGCCTAGGAGACATAAAGCCCTTACAGGGACAGACTGCCAAGAGCTTGGTACAAGGTTGTGCACCACCTTGCCAGCCTTCAGTCAACATTTACCAACTGCAAATCATATTACAACATCTCTAAGGATAAAGATAGGATGCTACCTTGTGTTCTCATTATATTTATATAGAAAGAACAAAAATAGCACAGACAAAATCTCAGGGCTGTTTGCCCCACTGGCCTGCTAGCAACTGTGTTCATACCTGAGGTCTCTCCAGGAGCACCTGGGGACAGGTTTCCAGCTACTGCTTCTACAATGATCTCCATGTTCCCTGTGTCCTCTTCAGTTGCTGTGGCCTCTACCAGCAGGCAGCTTGGGTCAGCAGGCAAAGGTGCAGGGTCCCCAGAAGAACAGGGGCTATGAACAGGCTCCAGGATTCCAGGGTTAGAGAGAGGTGGGGGGATCAGCAATAGCTCAGGACACAGTCCATCCATCTCTCCAGTACTGTTGGCTGGCTGTGAGTCCAACACAGGGTCTGTCATCACCACCAACTTGTGTGCTAGGGTCTCTTAAGTGCTGATAAACAAACTACAAGAGAAACCAAATAAAATATAGTTAGATCTCTCGCTTTCTTCCCATTTGATGAGCGTGAACAGCCTAGCACCTGCCCACTTATGTATTTCCTTGCACGGCAACATGCCACAACTCATCAACCTAGAAGTTTTATTTTTATGACAATGTCTAGAACAAAAAGTATAAAAGTTATAATAGGGGTTAATATTAGGAGAGAGCCAACAAGTTTTGGCCAATATATTAAAGACAGCAAATTAAGTTTTTGGAGCTAAGTGACCATGGTCAAATCATTAAGCAATCTGGATCTGTTTTCTTATCTGCAACAAAATCGGATGGGGCCAAGGGATCTCAGATGTTCCTTCCCCTCTTAACATTTTATGATCTCACTATTTCTTAGCATGGGTATAAGGCCCTTCCTTCATGATCTGGCCCCTGCTGACCTCTCCAGGCTCATCTTCCAACTCTTTCCTCAACAGACCTCTGAACCACTCATACCAATGATTTGCCATCTCCATACTCACCGCATTCTCTTACTTCTATACGCTCACACATTTGTGTGTGTCTACCTGTCTCCGTCTCTCAGCTTCATGGGCCTTTCCCCCTTCTCCATTTTTGTCTGACTAATCAACTCCTTTAAGAATCTGCACACATGTTACTTCCACTATGAAGGTTTCCTGACAGGTTAAGACAGAAAGAAGGTCTAGGGAATGAATGAGACCTGGCCTAAGGACCAAAGGCACCGGATTTCCACCTGCCTGTGGACTCTGACACACCGCGTGGATTTGGACAGACACTGTCACCTCCTTTCTCTGGGCCTCAGCTCTTATCTGTAAAGTGGAGGCGATGACAGAGTCCACATTGCTGGACGGAAGCCGGAATCACAGACCGGGCGAATGGGTAAGCCGATTTGTAACCTGCAAGGCTTGGGATGAAGCATTGTCATGATTATGGTGCTGAGGAGAGGCAGCGGGTAACAGGGCGGGGTCCAGAGCAGTGACGCGTCTGAGTTACCGGGGCGGTTGATGTGATGCGCCGGGGCCCCGCTCGTCGGCGTGCTCCCTGCAGCACCTCCTTTCAAGGGTTCCCACCTCCCAGGCCCACCCTCATTCTGGGGCTCGAGAAACTTTCCCTCCAGCCCGCTCCACCCGCACTCCCTACTGGTTCGCACCCCTCAGCCGCTCACTTACCTTTCGGCCCAGGACCGGCAGGAGCCGCATCTCTATGGTCGACCAGAAGCTGGAGCGGCCTCCCGGGACTCCCTTTATGCGACCGCCTCCGGCCCAGCGGCCTCTATGGCCTCGGACCTATGGAGACCGCTCTCTCTTCCTTTTGACGGCGGGCGGAGTACTCTATGGTTTTTTTCTATCGTTTTCGCAATCCCCAACTCCCTCAGCCAAGCCCGTGGAGTACCATCGAGAGGTGTGGAGCAGAGTGGCAGGGCTCTCTTGATGGGCGTGGCGGGAAGTAGATGAAAGAACTCGGGGGCGGGGCCGAGCGGCTCGTCCCTGGAGTGCGGAGCGGTGAAACCATCGAGAGGGAGGGCCAGAGAGTCATGGCGGTAAGGGGCGGAGTGACAGGTTACTCCAAACCACGTTGCTAGAGGCGCAAGCTGGGGTGTGGAGGGTGTTCGGAAGGGGGCTTCTGGGCGTGCAACAAGGACCCGAAACGGATAAGGCTTTGTCTGTGGCCTACCATGCATAGGTATTTTGGAATTCTGGATCCAACTCTGAGCCTCAGCGGAGGTCACTGCTGTCAGTTCACCGCCCCGCGTGCCAGGAGCCGAGCGAAGTGGCAGGGGGTCGGGGAGGAGTACTAGAAACGATTTGGTTTCCTACCCTTCGGGATCTTATAGTCTAGAATTAGACCCGGTCACGTTTTATTGCGGAGAATTCTGAAAAATCACCATGGAGAAAGTAGCAGATGGGGAGGACTTCAGTTGGAGAGAAATTAGAATGGGCTTTCACGTTGAGAGAACTGCTTGAGCCAGGAGATGGGAAGTGGTTTGCATATTTGTTCAACAGGGCATGTTTTAGGAGCTAAGCCATGAAAGGCAGGTGGGCGCTTTGTTGTGGAGGGCTTTGCGTAGCAGGCAGAGGAGGTTTTGTTTTGTTTTGTTTTTTAACTTAATTCAGAGGTCTGTTGAGAAGTGTTGGAGCAGGGATAGTAATTAAAGCCAATCTTTATGAAGGAAGAACTGGGGCCCTGTATAGCAGTTAGGTGAAACGGGTGGAGACCCATTAAGATGCCATTGCAAGAACTAAAATTAATTTTAAAGAGACTTTAGATGGGAGGTAATAAAGAGCTAAACAGGACATTAGAAATTGAGCATGTAAAGGAGAGGATATTTGAAGGACGTCACTCATGGTAACAAGGCGTGGGGTTACTGACAGGTCAGTGGAAGATAATGGCTTTCATCCCCTGCTAACTCTGGCCAGTGGGCCCCTTTCTATCTCAGCTGGTCCCATGGACCACAACAATTCTTTCTGTTATCCTGTTGTGAAGCTGGTTACATTGTTCTCTCAGGAGTAAGGAATCTCCAGACATAGTCCTCTTTCAGGAAACAGAGGTATGAGCAGAATAATGATGGGCAAAACAGGGTAAGGGACCTGGAGCCTCAGACCTTGCATTACACCACTATGGCTGTCCCACAAAGGGAGGATATTAAAGCACACAGTAGCTGATCTGTCTTTCCTGCTCCCAGTTTTTGCAGGAGGGAGGAGGTGGGGAGGGGAGGAATAGTGGATTCCAATTTCTAAACTAATCTTGTGCTTTGTCCCATCCCCGTTGCTCCCCATCCCCAGGTTTTGAAAGTGCTTTAGGGCCTGTAAGGTCCAGCAGTTTCCCTTTCAAGATGCCTCTCTCAGATTTTATTCTGGCCCTGAAGGACAATCCCTACTTTGGGGCTGGATTTGGACTGGTGGGTGTGGGCACAGCCCTGGCCCTGGCCCGGAAGGGTGCACAGCTGGGCCTGCTGGCATTCCGGCGCCATTACATGATCACACTGGAAGTCCCTGCTCGAGACAGGAGCTATGCCTGGTTGCTTAGCTGGCTCACCCGCCACAGTACCCGTACTCAGCACCTCAGTGTCGAGACCTCATATCTTCAGCATGAGAGTGGCCGCATCTCCACTAAGTTTGAATTTGTCCCCAGCCCTGGAAACCACTTTATCTGGTAAGGTTGGAAGCCAGTCAGGGAGGGCTCCAAAAGTAGAAAAGGAGAATGAGGGGAGCTGGGTTTACCGGTTTATTCATCGCATTTTGACCATTTTTATTCAGGTATCAGGGGAAATGGATCCGAGTGGAACGAAGCCGAGAGATGCAGATGATAGACCTGCAGACGGGGACTCCTTGGGAATCTGTCACCTTCACAGCTCTGGGCACTGACCGCAAGGTTTTCTTCAACATCTTGGAGGAAGGTGTGGGATGATGGCACAGGCAGGCTCTATGGGAGCTTGCAAGGATGGGGGCATTTAACTCAGAGGAAAGAATCTTGGAAGATATGAGCCCCTGGGAGCAGGGGGCCTGGGGAAGCGGTTTTGGTACAGCTCTGCCTTAGTTGCATGGTAGAGAGGAATATTGGCTTTGTCTCATCTCCACCCGCCCTCCTACCCCCCCCAGCTCGAGAGCTAGCCTTGCAGCAGGAGGAAGGGAAGACAGTGATGTACACAGCCATGGGCTCTGAATGGCGCCCCTTTGGCTATCCACGCCGGCGGCGGCCTCTGAATTCTGTGGTTCTACAACAGGGTTTGGCTGAGCGAATTGTCAAAGACATCCGGGAATTCATCGATAACCCCAAGTGGTATACTGACAGAGGTGAGAAGCAGCTGGGGTCTTGGGCAGACCATGTGATGTTAGAGCAGGAGGAAACAGGCTAGTCTCTGTGGCCAGATGGAATGAATATAAAGCTCTGGCCCAGTTCCCAATGAAGGGGAAAGTTGCCTACAGGGATGATTTCTTCCAATATCAAGGTCCTTGGGTCTCCAGGGAGCAGGGTTGGGAATGAATTTGGACGTCTGGGGTAGAGTACATGATTGAGTTTAGGTCCTGATGATCATCCTGGCTGTATTCCTAGGCATTCCTTACAGACGTGGCTACCTGCTTTACGGACCCCCTGGCTGTGGAAAGAGCAGTTTTATGTAAGTAGAGGCAGTGTTTCTCTTAACCCTCAAACTGGAGAGAAGCTGGGCTGACGGGATTGGAGAGAAATAAATGTGGGGAACAGGGACCAGGATAAACATGAGACATATGGAACGTTAGGGTGGGGTGGTGGAAGGGTTAGACCTGAGACACACCTAGTACAGTGAGGAATGAGCTGTTGGGCCCAAGGACGAATTCCCAGGTTGCCGACCATCTGTCCTCCCACCTTCTGTAGCACAGCCCTGGCTGGGGAACTGGAGCACAGCATCTGTTTGCTGAGTCTCACAGACTCCAGCCTCTCTGATGACCGGCTCAACTACCTGCTGAGTGTAGCCCCTCAACAGAGCCTGGTGCTCTTAGAAGACGTGGATGCTGCCTTTCTCAGTCGAGACCTGGCTGCAGAGAGTAAGTGAGGGGAACTGAGGGAAGGGCTGTTTCTAAATGAAGAAAAAGTAGAAATCTGGAGGGCTGATGGAGGATGCCTGGGTTACCAAGAAGAGCCCACAAGAGGCACAGATAAGTAGGGGAATATGGTGGGGAATAGAAGGGACTGATTTTAAGTAGGGCTATGACCAACCACCCATGCTTCTGTCTCTGCCTTCCTCTAGACCCAGTAAAGTACCAAGGTCTAGGTCGTCTCACCTTCAGTGGACTGCTCAATGCCTTGGATGGCGTGGCTTCCACTGAGGCCCGCATTGTGTTCATGACCACCAACCATGTTGACAGGTAGGAAGACGTGAGGTACTCTGAGACTGAGGCCAGATTCCACCTCAGCGTCTTGGGAGGATTAGAAGGTTCCAAGGGGACCATCATTTTGGGGGTACCAGTGGTTCTATTGCTCATGACTCTGCTTTTGCTGCCTTCTCTTCTTAGACTGGACCCTGCCCTGATACGCCCAGGACGAATAGACCTGAAGGAGTATGTGGGCTACTGCTCACACTGGCAGCTGACCCAGATGTTCCAGAGGTTCTATCCAGGGCAAGCACCTTCCTCAGCGGAGGCCTTTGCAGAACGTGTCCTTCAAGCTACAACCCAAATCAGTCCTGCCCAGGTGCAGGGCTACTTCATGCTGTATAAAAATGACCCTGCAGGGGCAATTCACAATGCTGAGTCCCTAAGGAGGTGACAGCTAGGCTGTGCTCAGCAGTCCTCCCCTAGAGGATCAATAAACATTTGCCTCACGACTCTGGTTTCTGACTTCCTTTCCTACCTCCCTATATTGGTATTAATACTTGAGTAAAAAGGCAGTTGCTGTAATCACAGATGCCTACAGAGGCCACTAGGTTCCACATATGTAAGTGCTAGTGGCACAGGTTAAGACAAATAAACACACACACACAAAATGCGGGTATATAAACAGTGGGTTACACAGCGGGATGGTTCCTGCATCTTCTGCTTAGATGTTGGCATCCACTAGTTTCCCTGAAACCTACTACATACTTCAAATATCCAGACCCCAATCTCATGGGAGAACAGATTTCTGGACCAACTTGGGGCTACTCTGCCACACTCTAGCCTTGCTGGGAATTTAGAAAGACAGCTATACTTCTCAGGCTAGGCACTACTGAGCAAAGAAAGCCAAACAAGGCCAAATCTCTTTATTGTTCCCATCCACCCCCATTTCCCTCTCCCCCCAGAGTACTGCTAGGAACCATCTTCAGATTCCAGGCTCAAGGGCTCCCTTCGCGTACCAGGCCGATAGGCTCCCCGACCCCGAGGCAGGCGGGGGTAGGAAGAACCCGATGTCCGACCCTTGGAGCGCTCCCAGCGAGCACAGTCCCGAGTCCTGCGGGGCGAGGGACCTTGCCAGTTGCCAGGCCCCTTCTCCTGGGAAGGACCTTCAACGCCTTGGTTATGGGGTTCTGGCTTTAGGTCCATGGGCTCCTTGAGGGGCCCCTCAGGACGTGGCAGTTCCTGGGTGTCACTGGTACCTTTGGGGGCAATGTACTCCTTTCCCTTTAAGTGCCTCCGTTCAGGCTGTCTGCAGGGGCCTCGACTGGCCCGGGAGGGATCTAGCATGGCTTTCTGGGTCTCGCCCAACCTTTGCTGATTTGGCTCGGCCCCTGGAATCTTCTCGCACGTGTACTGGGAGGTCACAGGCAGAGGAGTTGACAGGGTGGGTTGGGCAGTTGATGAAATGGACAGTTCTGTGGCAAGGGCACTGGGTGGTTGGGATCCTCCGGAGGCCTCCACAGCTGACTCAGATTCCAAAGAGGCAGGAGGCTAGAAAAGAAGTGAGCAGATGATGTGAAAGAGACACAGCTTCTCAAAGCAGGGAACTATAGGACCCTCGCCCACTAAATGAGCCGACCACTATCAGCCTATAACCTCCCTGGGAAGAACAAAGCTCACCCTAGGCCCTTGGCAGAGGGGTGTTGGTAGGAAGGTTGGTGTCATTATGGGAGGAGTGGGAAACCCCTTCCTCACCTGCTGGAGGCTAATGAAGTACCGGTTACGCTCAGCCTCAACGTCAATGATGCCCCCCCTTTCCTGCTGCCTCTGGTAGAGCCGCTTACGCTCTTCTTGCTGGCGCAGGCTTTCCGCACTGGGCTGGTACAGCTCCTGGAGGGAAAGGAGCAGAGTGGCAGGGAGAAAAGAACAGAAGATGGCAGACCTGAGCCCCTGCTCTTCCAGGACTGCCTCAGACCTGCACAAGGTTCTTGGTTTTATCCCTCAGATTTGGGCTCCCAAGTGAAGCCTTGGGCTCCCAGTGGGAGCTGTGGCTTTACAGAGAGGTCCCAGGCAGGTTGAGTCCAATTCCAGAGATCCCATTTGAGGCAAACAAGATGCCATTCCTCCTTCCTTGGAGAATGCCATTATTCCTGGCTCAGATTAGAAGGGAGTTCCCTTACCATGGGCTGTTGGGGTTCAGGTGCTGCTTTCAGTAAGGCAAGATCATACACGAGGGGCTCTCTGCACACCGGACACTGCACGCCAACTGCCTTCTAAAAAGAAATCACAACCCTGCTTCACGCCCAGAGTGATCACCAGGTGCCCAACCAGCCAGCCAGCCTAATCTGCAGAGGGCCGGGTCAGAAGGGCACAGGCATACCTGTTCAGCAGTGAGGTGGGACAGAGCACGGGTTGCCTAGCTAGAGGTCTGGAACCCTCTGAAACTGCATGCAATGTGATCACATGTATATACGGATGCCCTTTTTCTGGACAGAGGTGAGGGTTTATTAATCTCAAAGGTATCTATGACACTAAAAAGGTTAAGAACCACTGGATGGGGGCAGATAGAAAAGGTTGTGAGAGCCAGCAGTGTCAAATGAGAGCAAGGCCTGGAGGATCGACCTGTTTGGCTGTGGCATGCTGCCGTTCCTGTTCCTGCTCCTGTCCTTGAACCTGCAGCTCATGCTCCATGTGCTGGATGTACCGAGCAAGGCAGTGGCAGTGGAAGTAGTGGTAACAGGATGTTTTGGTAAAGGCCTCGTTCTCCTGGAGAGAGCAAATATAGGGCAGTGCATCAGAGCTCTCTTATAAGCCCTCCACTGCTCATCCCAAGCAGACCCCAGGTCCCAAGAGAGAAACCCACCTGGAAACCATAGAGGCAGATGACGCACTGGCCATGGGGGATGTTGTTATCTGTGAGAATTTCCTTCCCTTTCTGAGAGGAGAGAAGACACTGTTCAAATGGAGGCAGCAGCAAGAACTGTGAGCAAAACCTGTCTACTATTCCCAGGAGTGAGTGGCGGGATGGACTGTCTCTGACCAAGCCAGTCTGTTACCTCGCGTTCACACATTTCTGTCTTACTGATGCTCCCTCTGCTTGGAATCAACCCTGCAGTCCCCACCCCTCCTCCCAAATCAGTCCGGCTTCAAAATCCAATTTAATAGTTTCCCACTCATGTAGTCACCTTTAATAGCTCTTGGGGATAAAAATAATATACCTTAGAGAGAAAAAAATGTTCAATTCAAACACATCTTCTGGGAGGTCTTTCTTGGTTAACCCCCTTTGAACATCACTGCCCCAATGAGTTTGTACTGGAGTAGGCTTTCAGAAAGTCAGTCAAGGCATGGACAACCCAAAGGGACAAAGAATACAAAAGGCATCGAGTTGAGCTATGAAATATGCATTTGCACTGTTATTTGAATGGCTAATATTCTGGAATTCCACAAAGTTCAAAGCTGCATTGTGGATGCCTGACTCAGGAGTGCTACAGTGGTCTATGCCCCCTTTCTCTGACACAAGGCCACCCACCTTCATTCTTTTCTAAACACTTTTCTTAAAAACTCAAAGTAGAGGAAAACAAGACTGTACTTGATGGTATGTTTTTAATCTCAAACAGCAGAAGTTATCTGTGTTTATTAACTTGTAGCAGTACGTGTTGCTTCATATGGGTTGTTTCCTTCACTAGGATAGAAACTGGGTAAAAGAACCATGAGTTCTTCTAGTCGGCTGTAATAGCAGACTAGCTTTCAGATGTTCATTTATGGTGAAGATGCCCCAGGCAGGCTCCATCTCTTGCTACATTCAGTTGCCAGTGAAAAGAGAACAAGAAATGCACTGAAACTGAAGAAACATCCAAGTTAAAGAGGGGAAGTAATTTTCTGCCAAGATGCTGGAATAGGAAACTTGGGAAAGCTATAGAACTGTCTTTGTGGGAGATTTTTTTTGAAACAGAAGAGTCTCATCTTTCTAGATTAATTTAGACCTTACCTAAACAAGGACTAAAATAATGAATCCAGATATAGTCAAGATTCTAGGTCTATGGCTTCCCTTGAGAGGAACTGCTCTAGGTTGAAGGGAAGGACATCTCCCCAGGCTAGGACACCTCTTACCTCAATGAGTTCATAGAGCATGGCAGTACCCAACCCAGCCTTGGCCACTTGGCTCAGCGCCTGTGAGATCCTAGAGGAAGAAGGCAAACCAAACATTAGACCTGCACCCTTCACTCACCAGGCTGGGCTGTATCCGGAGTTTTCCCTGCTCTGGCCAGCCCACTTACTTGTGGATCTGTTCATCTGAGAGTCCTCGGGGGTTACGAATAGAGATCTGCGGCACCTCATGGGGATACTGGTAGGAGAAAACCACAAGTTACTGCTAAAGCACTCCACCCCAGGGTCTGTCCCCTTCCTTTGCTGCCATAAGGTAGAGGCCTCACCTGCGCTGGGACCTGGAGCACCAGAGTGAAGCAGACATACTGTGAGTCCTGGTCTTCTGCAGTGGCCGGGTACAGGGTGATGTAGACCTCCCAAGGTGAAGATCTGCAGGTAGATGGAGACCTAAGATGTGACTGGGCAGGGGCTTGAGGGCTGGGTGAGACGGGGGTGAGACAGTAAAGCAGGCAGAGGATGTGAGCATTGGGCTCGCTCTTTTAGCAGGTATTAAAAGAATAGTCTTTCTCTATATGAGAGAGACATTATCTCTGAATCAAGGCTCACAGATTCTGCATGGAATCTTCTCATTACCAAGGGGACTCCTGCCCACCTCTAGTTGAATACGTACCTGCCATTTCCTTTAACCACCTGTAGTTCATCCAGATAGATAGATTCTAATACCTCAACTTCAGAGGGAAGGACCCTAGAAAGAAAGAGGGGGAGACTGACTCACCATTACAGCTCTCCCTGTTAAAGCCTACTAAGGCTGATGAAAGCTGGCTTTGTAGAAAAAACGGGAATCTGCCTGTGTGCATTCTCTTGCTAAGCTCCATAAAAATGGGGGAAATGTTTTTCCTTAAGCTGTCAAATGGCCAGGTAGGAAGCATGGGAAGCAGAGTTTTAGAGATCAATTTTGCAACAGATAAGGAAGCAGGTTCCCAGGAAGGCGAAATGACGAAGCCAAATCTCAAGGCTTAACAGAGGCAGAACTCGGACCAGAGCCTGGTTGCCTGATTCCCTATTTAAGTCTCATTGCACTGTTGGTTGTTCCTTAGCGGCCCTGTCTCTGACCAAGAAATATGACGTTCATTAATTAACATCAAGGTTACCAATACCACTTCTGGCTTTCTCTATGCTACTGTTCATGTGGATCCCAGTGTCTATACACAATGCCAATAACAGTCACCCTAAACCTTCTCAAAGGACATACCAATCTGAGTAGTACAGATCTAGGTGGTATAAAAGCTGTGTTGTAGTGGAACAGCCATTAGCCTTGGAGTTACTACTAGGTACCAATCACTTACCAGCCATGTGATCTGAGTAGTTACTTATGTCTGTAGGCCTGAGTTACCCTGTCTACATA